TAATTACATTATTTTGAAAATCTCATATTATTCTTGTTTTATTCAGAAAATGATAAGTTGTAAATGTACTGTTTGTGAAATCTTTGAGAGTATAAAGTTATTTAAAAAAATATATAAAAGTGTTTCCTCACCTAAGACTCAATTTTGATACATTATTAACCAGAAAGTGTTCTTCAGCTGCTAAATCTATAGGATGTGCTTTACAAAAAACGGTTTGTATAACTTTTATACTTTTTATTATCTGACAAAATCAGTAAAAGATGCAATATATTTTTTAAATAGTTAACCATTCTTTTCTCCTTGTCCGTAAGGTATGTGTCTTTTATTAGTCTTAGGAAATAAGAAAATATAAAATATTTTATGGGCAAAGAACAAAGACTGCTTGACTGTATAGAGTATTGCAACAACTCATTAGTTTTTGATGCAATATTTTATATGGTCAACCATTATTTGCTTCTTGTCCGTAAGGTATTGAACTTTGTTTTTCAATTACAAGAAACTAATAAAAGAAAAAAAAAACTTTACAAACTCAAACATCTTTTGTTCTTTCTCCAAAGCCTCGGGTAGAGTTTTAATTTAGTTTCACAATTCTTACATCATGTTTAAACATGCAGATATTTCAATTTAGTTGATCATCTAAAATCAAAATCACAAAGTGTTAAATGAGAATCAAGAAAATAAAATGCTAAGTTTTGACAGCAGTAAGAAGATAGCAAAGAGCTTAAGACAGATCACATATTAAAGCAATAAGTTAACGAATAAAACATTAATAAAATGTGGAAGCTTATGAGTGGGTTTCACTGCTCTGTTAGTTTCAAAACATGTAAATTCTGATAATAATAAATAATACACTAAAGTATTTAGAATTAATCAGCATTATATGAAAATAATAGATATTTAATGAAAGAAATAAAGACAGAAAATAACTTAAAACACGTGTCGATTTATATATAAATATAACAAGACACATTAATAAAACTTAATAAGCAATCCAAAAATACCTTATTTTAATACAGATGGATCTGTTCGTTTCTGTGTTATATAATCATAATAAAATATAATATAATTTTCCCTTTGTTGGCTCAGCGGTAAGTATAAGGGCTTATAACGCGGAAATTCGGGTTCGATTCCTATGTTGGGCACAGCACAGTTAGGCTTTTATGCAGCTTTGCGCTTAAAACAAACAGTACATACATACATACACACATACATATACGTATAGAGTAAATATATACAATTTTATATTGGTGTTATGAGAAGAAACAAGTGAATTTTCCAGTAAGATATAGATATATTAAAAAGAAGTTATATGGTATTTGATATAGATATATTAAAAATAAGTTATATGGTATTTGATATAGATGTATTAAAAATAAGTTATATGGTATTTGATATAGATGTATTAAAAATAAGTTATATGGTATTTGATATAGATATATTAAAATAAGTTATATGGTATTTGATATAGATGTATTAAAAATAAGTTAT